AATTATAGGCGATAGCAATCATGGACTCGAAATGATTTTCAGTGACGAACCAAACACGTGTGTCCAATATAAACGCATTAAATGGATATTTATTTGATAATCTGAGTCATTATGGAAATGTGATATCGTAAATCGATTTATTGGTAATACGAGTAAAATCAGATAGGTCTAAAATGTTTTGCATTCGTAGATTAAACTAACAATAATCGAATTAAAAGTTTGAAATCGGGTCTGATAGCGAGATTATTGTTCTAATCTAGCCTTGGTATTATTTCCTGTCTACAATTACATATTTTGTTTATGTAAATGCATACGTTTTTCCTTAAATTATTTGATACATGTACTATAATTATTGTGGGGTACGACCCCAATATCAGCAACTTGTGAGTGATGTGTCTAACCGCTGGCGTTGCAGAACTGTACATGTTCAATTGGATAGTTTCCACGGTATCAAAATTAAAAATCTAATTAGTCCGTCAGTTAGACAATTAAGAAATATTAGACACGTATTTTTTTTCGTAATAAGTTGCAATACTTAGATAAAATGACGCTAAGTTTAGGAAGTGTGATGTTGATACGTCATAACGTGCTACAAAATATGACACGCTGTGACGTCACACGATATTTCAAATTAATATATCGTCGAAAGTATTTAATTTTGTTAAAAAAAGAAAAAATACGTGTCTAAAGTTATAAATTAATGTACCAGACCGACATTTAAAATAAAATTTAGGAAACTACCCTATTGTCCATATATAGGTAACGGTTACTGTATTATTTTGTACAGGTGGGCTGGAAGTCTATCTGTCCGTTTGCTGGTACAAACATATCTCAATACTGCGATTGTTTTTTCAATAGCAATATTATCTAAGTATTCTCGTGAAACATAATAATAATTGTTTTTTACGTGAATAAGCCATAAATCAACTAACTAATCGCGGGTTACTCACGTGAATATACTGAGAAAAGCTCTAGTAGTTTCGAACCACAGAGCTATATTCACGTGAGTAATCCGCGATTTTTAGTTAATATAGTATGTCTCACGATAATTATTATAGAAACAAGCTATAAATCATAATTAATCTAATACAGTAAGTAGTTCTACTTTCGGTCTCACGATTTCAAGCTCACCATGAAAAGAGCGATAAACTTACCAACCAAATCAAGATTTATGGTAATTACAAACAATACACATTTTACAGCGAATGAAGCGACAGTTTTATCAGCGCATTAATGAAATGGCTCTCATCTTGCATGATTGCACAGTACGAGATTAGCCATGACCCTGAGATTGTGAAGCGATGAAAATAGTCGACTGTTTTTATATTATCTACTAGCTTCTTCTGGCTTCGCTCGCGTTCTCGTAGGATAAAAAGTAGCCTATGTGATATTCTAGACCATAATATACCTTTGTTCCAAATTTATTCACGATCCTTTCAGCCGTTTTGACGTGAAGGATGAACAAACAAACAAACAAACATACAAACTTTCGCATTTATTATATTACTAGCGACCCGCCCCGGCTTCGCACGGGTGCAATTTATATACATGTATTATACGTATAAACCTTCCTTAAGAATCACTCTATGTTTTAGAAAAAACCGCATCAAAATCTGTTGCGTAGTTTTAAAGATCTAAGCATACATAGGGACAGACAGATGACGGATAGCGACTTTATTTATGCTATGTAGTGATTAATAGGAAGTAGAATTAGTAGGAAGTAGGTTTTTTTTTATACTTGATGGACCGACGTTTGACCACTATCTCGCCTGATGGTAAGCGATGATGCTGTCTACGATGGAGCACGTCTACGCATAAGCGACTTATCCACTCGGGCCTTGACGACACTCAGGTTTATACCCCTCAGAAAACACAGACTACATAAATTCCACTCCTTAGCAGGATAGTAGGAAAGTTGTTAATACTATTATTGGGTTAGCTACATTATAAAACCCACGGACAGAGCTGGGAGGCAACAAAGATGGTGGACTTTACTGTCACCAGACGACTGATACATCAACAATCGCTACTCTATCTATTGAAATCGTTGGAATGTGTAATTAATTTTAACGAAGTCAATTTTTCAATCAGTAGCTGCTGACGCCCACTGAATGTTTGGTCATCGGAGCACTAAATCAGAGGCCTTAGTACGAGTTTGATTTACGTTTAAAGTATTGTAAACGAGTACGCGTTCGGCGCTCTGATTGGCCGGCACCAATGAACCAACCAACCACAGCGCCGAACGCGTACTCGTGACGATTACTTTAAACTTAAAATAAACTCGTACTAAGGCCTCTGATGATCGTTTTAAAAAGACTCTATTTTTATTTTATTATATTATGCTAACGAATATTTTGTATTGACTAAAATGTAATTTCCAAGTACAAACGCGGTGGTGGAGTTCAGGTTCAAGCGAATATGCCAACCTTAGTTCTGTTATTCTGTGCTTTGCAAAACTAGGGTAAGTTCACCTAGTCGCGTCCATGTTACGGAATGCCCTTTAAAAAATCACGAAAATAAAAAACCGAATTTACCCTACTTATTATGTTAATAAATTATCACCACATTTCAGACACTTCTTTTAGCCATTTGCTGGAAAATATAAGCCTATTACCTCCAAGTATTAACAGTGTACCTACCCGTGTTATCATTACAAACGGCCTTTACTTCGACTTTATAATCCGATAATCGATTTTTACAATACATTTATCTATATAGTTTGTGCATTATTATGTTATTTACCAGATAACAGCCACGCATTATTCGTCATCTTGATATTAAACGTTGCGTAATGCGAAAGTATTGCGATAACGCAGTCCATTTATGTTTTCTTTATTGAGTATTGTATTAGCATCGTTCGAATTTTAAATTGTGTTTTTTTAAATATTTAAAAGAAAAATAATTTACATTTATTTAGCACCAGACACGATACAGCATAGATAAAACATATGGAAAAAGTAAAAAGGACGGGTAATTTGAATTTCGATCGTTGAGATAAAATTTGATTTGTTTGAATTTCAATGTCACAAAGTTTTTGTAGTAGTTTCTTAAGAGGAAAATCCCGTCATAAAGTTGACCTCTGAATTCATGGGGCTTGTAAAAATCTCCGATGTCCTATGACTAGGCTCTTAGGAATAAACATGTTTTCTAGGAATTTATCTGTTTAGCAAAAATATTTTTGATATTTTCGCAACGTGTATCTGTATAGTACTAATAAATCTAAACTACTTGTCTTAGAAAAGTCTGATACAAAAGTTTGGGTATTTGAATTGTTTTTACATAA